ACGCCATAGTGTTAAACACTCTTCAATATACCTTTTCGTGGCACTTTCATTGAACCGAGCAACCACACTTGAAACATATGCCTCGTTCTTCGTTTGTTTCTTCGTTGTATACTTCTTCCTCCCACTCAGTTGTTCCATTTTATTGAAAATTCTGTGGATGGGCGATAATTTTCTGTCGACCACTTCTGGTACATATAACAGATCGACTGCGTTCTCTTTGAATGTCGCGTCACACCCTTTCCCATACTTCTTGTAGTCTTCTGGTAATATCAACACCGTCTTGTCGGTGTATTTCATTTTGTTCTTCTTTTCCTTCAGTTGAGAACAAAAGAAGGCAACCCATTTTTCAAATACCGTCTGTGTGATACAAATAGTACAGTCTTCACAGATTTTTACGTTCTTCTTTTTCATGGTTATAACTTCGTCCCTGTCCTCTTCATTTTCTGAAACATGGTAGAGGGGTAGCGTTTGACCATCCGCACATATACAACAAAAAAAATTCGACTCTTTGCTCTTTCGTGTCAGAAACATCTTCTGAGGCGCACCAACACCAAACGCCATGATGAACCGTTCACCGCGTTTCTCTTGGAACCCAAACTCGTCTGCATTAAACACAAAACTCGGGTTGATGTTCTCGACTTTGTTTTTAAGTTCATTACAAAAATCACAGAGAACGTCATTGGTCGGCTCAGGAAGGTCACGACTGATTTTGGTCTTTCGAAGGTCGAGAGGGATGTCGTCGAAGCTTAACGTGACTCCATCACAACAATCCTCCACGTAACATATGATAGCATTCTCTGTTATCGCAACTCTTTGTGCAGCAAGACTCTCTGCAAGTAATACTATCTCCGCAATTACTTGTTGTTTTGTTTTAAGGACAAGTGTCTCAGTGTTATCTGTTGTGACTGTTGTGTCATTCTCCGCCGCAGTTTCCGTCTTCGACGAGTCCAAAGAAATGACTTCCTTTGTGATATCCAACACTCGAGTTATTTCGTCGTAAGTCGCAACGGGGCACAAGCTCTGCAAATTGTGAATTTGTTCTTCAAGAGATTTACTATTTTTGAACGCCTCTCTTTCTGTCGCTCGTTTAAACATTTCGCGAAGACCAATGGCCACTGTATCAAAGTGGAACACTGCTTTGATGCTTGCCATTCCCAATAAAGAGTTTTTCGAGCCTCAAAGACAATACTTTAACTATAATAAGAAACTATTTATTTTATTATACAAGGTATAGAATAAAACTAGTAAATAAACTAGTTTGAATTATTTAGAAAATACCAAAAAAGAAGCTCTGACGTTGTCTTGACTCAACAGGAGTAAACTTGTATTAGAAACCCTAAATAGGAACTTTGACAGAGCCGAATGGCAGCGAAAGATTTGATACTGGAGACGTTAGATGCACAAGAGAGCATTGTGTCCGCATACGACTTTGCTCAGGAAAAGAAATTGGCGTATGACAATACCTTTATTGGAGCCATCAAATCATTAGACGCGGCGAACATAGTCAAGTCCGAAATGAAAAAAGTTTCAAAGCAAATTGTCACCAAAAATGCGGAAGACGTTTTGTCGAATGGAAGTGAGGAATTTAGACTTTTCCAAGCAATCTCAAAAGACGGCTCCGCAAAGGCCGACCTTGAAAAATTGGCATATTACAGAACAGGGTTTGCGGAAGGCATGAAACTTAAAATCATCAAATTAGACGGACAAAAGGTAGTTCGCCTTGTTGAGACTTTTGAGGACACAACACAACAGTCACTTAAAGAAGTCTTGGCTGGCAGACAAGCCACCAAAAACGAAGAAGTCATATTCAAGCGAAGAAAGTTTTTGAAACAAGAGACAATGACTGATTATGTCTTAACTCGTGGTGAAATGTTCAATAAGAGATCAAAGCCAGTGACCAATTTGACGACGGAAATGCTTCAAAATGGGTCGTGGAAAGATGCGAATTGGAAGGAATATAACACTGAAGCCAATGGTATATACCCGAAGGGGGGGTCGAGACACCAACTCTCGAAAGTCAGAGAAAACTTCAAGAACATCTTCTTAGAGATGGGCTTTGAGGAAATGCCAACTGACATGTATGTCGAGAGCAGTTTCTGGAATTTCGACTCATTGTACCAACCACAACAACATCCAGCAAGAGACGCACAAGACACTTTCTTCTTAGAAGCGCCTGCTAAGACGAGTGCTGCTGATATGGAGCCAGACTATGTTGCTAAAGTGAAAAAAGTACATTCTGTGGGGGACTATGGATCCATTGGATGGAGATCAGACTGGAAAGAGGAAGAAGCTGAGAAGTGTATTTTGCGAACGCACACGACTGCAGTGAGTTCGCGTGTTTTAGCAAAATTGGCCAAAAAAGCAAAGGAAGACGGCGAGTTCAAACCAATCAAGTGTTTCTCCATTGACCGAGTCTTCCGTAATGAAACCGTCGACCAAACGCACTTGGCGGAGTTCCATCAAATCGAAGGATTTATAGCAGATAAAAACATTGGACTTGCTCAATTGATTGCGGTGATCAAAGAGTTCTTCACTAAGATGGGTCTTCCCGACGTCAAATTCAAACCGGCATACAACCCATACACCGAGCCCTCTATGGAGATTTTCGCGTACCACGCGGGTCTCAAAAAGTATGTTGAAGTTGGCAATTCTGGTGTCTTCAGACCAGAGATGCTCAGAACAATGGGTGTTCCTGAGGACATTTCAGTCATCGCTTGGGGATTTGGTCTTGAGCGACCCACCATGATTTCTTATGGTATTAAATCAATCCGATCTATTTTCGGCCCAAGAACAGACTTGGAGTTCATTAAGAACAGTGAAATCTGCACGTATGGCATTTAATTGATGGGTCTTTTGTCTTTAATTGTTTATATATTAATTATTGAAAACTATGGAATAACATTGAAAAATTCTTGTTATTCAAAATGTTTTTCTTCTTCACAAATTAATAAGAGCATTATCAGTTCAGAGCATCCAACTCGAAAAATCAGAGAATGGAGTGGGTTTTGTTAGGTGTAATGATGTTTGGGCTCAGTTATGGAGTTGATTGTAAGTGTTTGAATCAGGTGAGTAGGACGCATTGTGTTGAATGTACGCCTGGCTGTCACACCAATTTGGTATATTATGGGACTTCTCCGCATTTCGAGTGTTTCCCCGATGATGTAATAGGCACTGACAACAAAGTAATTACCGTCGTTCAAAAGAGTGAATCGGTGATAACAGTGACACTTCGTTTCATCTGTAGTGGTCTTTTATTATTCGAGTTATTAGGGACAGTGTATTACTATCTTAGAAGTAGACAATTTTCTGTTGACATAATTCCTCTCTATTGGATATGGGAGAAGTTATTTGGGTGGATATCTGATTTGATTCTCATCCTCATAAATAATGGTCGTGCCACCGCTCCTCGTTTCTAATTTTTAACTCACTTGAAGTATTTTTCTTTCTTACTTTCTTATTGTTTTCCCCTCTCACCGCACTCAACCAAAAAAAGAACAAAAATAGTGAATGTAATATCTTACTCGTCTTTCGCCTTTGGGCTTCCCACATTCTCCTCAGTCCTTTTCTTCTCTTCTTTCCCCTCTTCATTCTTCATCTCTTTCTTTGTCGCGCTTTCCTTGAGATTCCTTTGTTGACTTCCTTTGTCATCCCAATAAGATGCAGGAAGTGGAGGTATCACAAACTGCAATACGTACATCGCGGCAAGCATCACATAGAAGTAGAAATACAGGTTCGTCCACGCCTTCCAGACATACGAAAATGCCATCAAGTTGAATGCAATGTGACAGAAGATCATCAACATGAGGGACAAGAACATCCCAACAACTTGCCACACCCAATACAACTTGCTCTTCTTGTTAATATACGTGTTGATGATTCTCAAAAACCTCCTCGAACAGAATTCATATGGAATTCCGCAACAGAAGAAGAAGAGTAAGTACCCCGGGTATAACCCATGCCAGAACGCATTCATGATATACGTCAAAGCATGTCGCGCAAGCCAACCCCAGCTATCGGGGACAATATCATTGACTACAGAAGTGACCCAATCAACTATCCCCAAATTCCAGTTCGATGCAAACATCTTAAGTCCGCGCGCAGTTAAGATCTTGGTGATTCGGATGTTCCTGAACTTCGCAAACTTCTCCTGCCCTTTCTCCGTGACGTAATATGATATGCCACACCCAACACACGCCAGTTCGCCAGCCACAAACATGAATAGGTATTTCGACATGTTTGTGTAGTGTGCGACAAGTAAGTATCCAAGTCGATAGAGGAACGTTTGTTGGACAAAATCGTCAGTCATGACATATGTAAATTCCACTGGCGATGTCACACCACAGCAGTAGATAACAAAGAGTTCGATTAGTCTTGTGATGAAGGCCTTGGTAGTTATAGTGACTGGAATCTGTTTATTAGGGAACATCGACAAGTCTAAATATTTGTAGAACGTGTTGAAATCGACATTGGGACCAATGAGCATCCCTGGAAGGTGATAGCAATAAGCAAATAAGTCTGTCAGTGAAGGGTCTTCTTTCATGACCAAGTGTTTGTGACGGGGCTTCACTTCATTTTCTGGCCTGAAAGATAAGGAGCGATCCCAAGTGATACAACTCAGTCGTACAATGAGCATCATTTGTAATATTGTCCAGTCTGTTGAATAGATTAAATAGAAGTTATACATTCTCCACGCATGGCCGTATAAGACGTAAATGAATTGAATTATGAGATTGAGGTAATGTGCGTATGGGTATTTGACTGTCTTCATTAAAATGTATGTGATAAGAATAGATAGTGTACCATGGAGCATATACTCTTGGAAACATATCCATTGAGATATCACAGATGTCAATATAATAAACCAGACTCTGGCAGTCCGATTTGTTATGTGTCGACTCACTAAACTCAGTGGAACCGGAGCTATAAATAGCAACGCCACTGTAAAATAGTGTGGTGTGATTGTTGGGATGTTATTCCAAAGTGTCAGTATTGTCTCTGATATCCCCATTCGAGAATTCTTATTTTTAAGTTCACTCTCGAAAGGAAAAAACAACCACAATCGTCCGTGTTTTGACAGACGACAGCAAGAGATCCAATAAGCTTTTTTTTACTATTTTATTATAGTTATAAAATCATTCTAAAACTATAAATTAATGGGGATACTTGCGAATAATTTTGAATGTTAATAAGTTATTTGGTTGAAAAAATGAAAAAACACGAATAATTGGATTGATGATGAAAAGGTGCTAAACTTTTTATAATTGTTTTTTAGGCTAAAAAAACATTTATTAAAACTTTTTTGGAATTAAAAAAAACAATCGATGATCCTATTTTTATTTTTTCCAAATTAAATATTGTTGTTTGATTTGGAATAATTAAAATTATTGTTTTGTTTTTTTTAAATAAAATATTGTTTTAATTAAATTAACTATAATATATATAAATTGTTTAACATAATAACAAAAATAATAATTGTATTTATTGTTTAAATTAATTGAACATTTGTTATTACATTAAAAAACAAAAATTTTTGTTTTTTTAAAATACAAATGTTATTGAGCATATTCTCTCAACACAAAAAAGTTAAAGTTATTTATTAACTCAAGAATTTAACAATAACTTTAAATAAAATTGAATATTTTTTAACAAATAGAGTCATTTGCTAAACGTTGTCTGCCGATTTTTAGACCATTATAAATGGAATATTTCGGGAATTTTTTTGAAAAACCCCAAAATCATTGTTTCAATATTTTTCCCAGTTTTTTTTCATTTTTACCCAATTCCCGTTTTTTTAAAACAAAAATCAATTATTTTTTGTCAAAAAGACAACTTTTGGGGAACAGACAACCTTGTTAGACTGACTCTATAATTTATTTTACTAAATATTATTATTATTTTAAATTATATATTTAAAACGGACGTTTTATCAAAGAAATATATTTAATTAAAAAAAATAATTTAAACTACTATAATTAACCAATCAACAACTAATTGTCGAAGTTAAATTGATTATATCAAAGAATTATTTTTTAATTTATTTTTTTTAATAATTTAAATTATAATAAATTTTTTTTTAATTAAAATCAAATACGAAAATCCCGTTTTGTTAAGTCAAATATTCACTTTTTAAATGCTTTTTTATTTATTTATAACTACTAATTATAAAACTATAATTATTGTTATTTAATAAAAACAGAACGAAGTTCAAAATTTGACCATTTTGAGTTTTCAAGTGACAGAAAATGCGGAATGCAACCAAACGAGATTATTTGAGCGACAAACACACAAGAGAAAACAAATAAAAAGGCACAGTCAAGCAAATGCTCTTTGAACGACCGCAAACAAATAAAAAAAAACAAAATCGAAAAAAAGTGCCAAAAATATAAAATCAAAATTTAGATCAAACTATTCAACTCGAAAACAAAATGAGTCAAGAGAAACAACACTATAACAAAAAGAATTCGGGACTGAAGTTGTTTCCCAAAGACTGTCTTGGACAATCAGGAACTATCGTTTCAATCGACCTTTCCAACAATGACATTTCAGTTTGCCTTTCTTTCTTTCTTCAAACGAAGAATAATTAAATGAACTTCACAAACGATGTAAAACTATCGAAAAACTATATTTATTTTATAAATAAACTAATAATGGTCACAATGAGTAACAAGTAGGTTCTTCCAAAGGAAATGGGCGTCTTCAAGGGCCTCACCCACTTTAGAATGATGGCAAATAAAATCAACGCGTTGCCACTGTCGTTTGCCACGCTGACTGGAATCCGGCATCTTGACTTAAATGCGAATCAGTTTACGACGTTTCCAACACAAATCAGCACACTGACCGGACTGGAAGAACTTCAGATGATTCAAAACCAAATGACGGAGATTCCCGAGTGCATTGGCAACTTGACTAAGTTACAAAGAATCTCATTCACTGCAAACTTTCTGAAAACACTTCCCGTTTCTTTAGCGAAATGCACTGATATGAATTACGTTTGTTTGTTACAACTTAACTAATATAGTATGGTAGAGTACTAAGAAGAAGATAGAACTCACAAGTAACGAATTTGAGAAATTTCCAGAGGTTGTATGTCAGTTGTCAAAAGTCACAATTTTAATGCTCCAACAGAACCAATTAAAAGACGTTCCGTCATCGATCAGTAAGTTGGAGAGGATGTCGGGGTTATACCTTTCGACAAACAATTTCGACAAATTTCCTGAAACCATTTGTAAGTGCCCATCGTTGACACAACTCGAAATCGATAACAACAATTTTGTCGATATCCCCGACTCACTCTCTCTCCTCACAAAATTGAAAACTCTGATCATTAACAAGTCATTTGTGTCGTGTTTGAATACTATCGACGCAATGTCAAGTCTGTGCCAGATAGTGATGTCGGACACTAAGTGTATGTTCCTCCCCGACTTGTCAACTAACTCCAAATTGACATCATTGATCGTTATAAGAGGGTGCCTTAACGAGGTCAAGTCACTTCCACCAAATTGCTCTTGCAGATTTGGTGGAAACAGTATTGAGTCAATCGAATTTCCAGAGAACGGCGTCGTACAGTATATGATCCTCGCAAACAACAAGCTGACGTGTTCACCGGACTTGTCAATGTTATCGAAAATCTCGCGACTCGACTTGTCCCAAAACAGAATCACATGGTTTGACGATAAGACGTGCCACCCCACGTTACAACAGTTGGACGTCAGTTGTAATCCGTTAGTCGAGTTTCCAGTCTGTCTTTCTCGATGTGTCTCATTGAAAACACTGAACGTCTCGGACTGTCATTTATTCGATATTCCAACCAACGTCTTGGCGTCTCTATCGAATCTTGAAAATCTGTATTTAGCGTGTAACCACTTAAGTTCATTGGAGAGTCTGAGTGTCTCCACGAAGTTGAAAACACTCTACTTGCAGTCCAACAATTTACTCCACTTTCCACGGTGCGTCTGCAATTTGACGACACTCAAAACGTTGTTCCTTTCGAATAACTTGATCACCGTCATCCCCGACCAAATTTCTAAATTGAGTCAACTTGAAATACTCGACTTGTGCTGTAACTGCATTTTAGACATCGAGTGTTTGACTGCACTCTACAATTTGAAGGAATTGAATGTCGCGTTCAATTTCATCAAAACAATACCAGTCGGGTTCAGCCAAATGAAGAGCTTGAGCGCGATGAATATCAACGGAAACCAACTTTCACTGAAGGAAAAGATCCCACACCTCGAGAAGAAGTTCGACTTCTTCCAAGTGCAAATTCCAGTCCTCAAAACACCGAAAGACGAGGTCGACGGCGCAACAACTATCCTTTCGACAACAGTTTTTGCGGATAAGAAGGTAGTCAAAACGTTTAATATGCCATCGGAGACGTACCAATTCTTGACTCTGAAGACGGCGAACGGAGTGTTGTCAGAAGATGAACACCCGATTGAAGTTGGGAGCAGTGAAATGAAAGGGCGTCGACCATCAATGCAAGACACGACATTTGAAATCAAAAATTTCATGATGAAAGGGTTTCATATGATCGGGCTGTTTGATGGCCATGGAGGAGATAATGTCTCTAAAATGGCATCAGCGATGTTCCCGACTGTCTTTGCGAATCAGCTGCAAGCTCAGGTCAAAAGGAGTCTTTCGAAAAAGAAAATAGAACCGGAGAATTATATAGACAATTGGGTGAAAACGGCATTCAGTGAGACGTATGAAATACTTAACAAAGTTTGTGTTTTTGACGGTGCGAGGAACAAAGGAGTAACAGGTAGAATGTCGAGAATCAGAAATACACGGACGGATCAGCGGCGGTCGTTGTCTTGATCACGCCACAGAAATTGTACTGCGCAAACTGCGGAGACTCCCGCGCACTTTTGGTCCAGAAAAACACTGAAATCCCAATGTCCGTCGACCACAAACCAACACATCCAAACGAGTTGAGAAGAATCCGGAAGAACAACGGGTACGTCGACAAAAGTGGAAGACTTAATGGTGAAGTCGGGTTGGCGCGAGCACTGGGCGATTTAAGGTGCCACCCCGCACTCACTGCCGAACCAGAAGTTTTGACATATAACAGGAGCGGAGAGGATTTGGCCATTGTTATGGCGTGTGATGGTGTTTGGGATGTCTTTGAGAATGTAACTGTTGCGAGGATGGTTAGAGAACGATTGAGTATGCCACGGGTCGCTGACATTGCTTGTTTCTTAAGGGACGCGGCACACTTCAATGACAGTGGGGATAACATCAGCTCCATTGTTGTCCGACTTTAAGTTCCATTGATATCTTGTTTGCTATAAGTTCTACTTCTTTCTAGTGTTTTAGATTATAACAAAATAATAATAATAATTCAATTATAATACATATATTAATTATAATAATTAAATGTCGCTAAGATAATCCAAGAAATACAGAATGAAGAAAAATTATGAACAACACGAAGCCGAAAGACTGACTAAATTGGAAATGGGGGAGATAACAAAGCTGGTGTCCTCAGACCCAAGTTTTGTTTCTAATGGAATGATCACGGAAGATATTAAGTACTACATAAGTCTTAAAGAACTGAAGTTGTCGGGTGTTGATTTGAAAACCCTAGACGGTGAGGTTTTACCAAAGTCTTTAGAAAAGATCAATTGTAGAGACAACCAAATAACATCACTACAAAATATGACGAAACTGACGAACTTAAAGAGTCTGAACGTGTCGGATAACCCTTTAAAATATGTTGGAGAACTCCCACTACTTAACTCGTTAAAAATGAAGTTTTGCCCATTTTGTGATATCAAAAATGTTATTCGGACGTTGTACACAATGACGACTCTGACGACCTTGTCACTTCCAAAATCGTTAATACTTGAGCCGCTTGAGCCCGCCATGATTATGGAATTACTGACTTTACAACGAGTCCCCAATAAATTTCTTAAGGCAGAAATTAAGTTTTATAAAAAGATATTACAAACAAAGATTCCTTCAATTTTAGACAGTGACGTGTACATCCGAATACTTATATTATACCTCCCGTTATTAATCAAATTTGACGATGAAACAATTGATTACAAAGCAAGGCAGTTGATTGCAGAAACAGTCAAGGCAGAGTTTTCACTGGAAAGTGCTGTCATCCCAAATCTCTTCTTCTTTAATAGAAACAAAACAGAAGCTTCAAGTAGAGATCTGACTGACTATGTCGCGTCAACGTACGTATTTGGTGACACACACTTTGACAAGATATTTAATGGACATGACGATATAAGGCAGTTTGAATTTAACCCACACGTCCCTTCTACTTTACTTGTTGGGAAGATGAGTGGAGAACTTTTTATTGGAAACACTGAGACTAATAACATCCAAAATGTGATTTCACCATTTACATCACCAGCTTTTGGGATATGTTGGAACCCAAGAAACGACTTGAAGAACACGTGTGTATTGGGGAGTCGAGATGGACAACTTGCGTTCTTTGATTTTGACCGAAAGAATGATGCGGTGTTGGTGAAAGATGACTTCCAACATATTACAAGCGTACATATCAATAGCACTAGTACCAGAATAATCACTTCGGGACATGAAAATACAGTGAACCTTTTGGATTACACAACAGCTACCATTCTTAGAATTTTTGGAAATCTCCATAGGGAGAACGTGAATGTCGCAAAATTTGGAAATACGTCGCCAGATTTGTTTACAACGTGTTCGTTTGATTCGACTGCTTGTGTGTGGGACTTACGGACGGATTGTGTAAACCCAGTTATTCAATATGATTCAGAAGCGCCACTTATAACAACTATATTTTCACCAGACGACCGAAGCGTGTTAATTGCTGGGGTTGACAATTATGTTGTTGATGTTGATTTGCGAAGTGTAAGGGGTGTTGCGATGAAACTGGAGAGAAGGTGGAGTGTTGAGGATTTTTCAAGAGCCTATTATTGCAATGGCGGAAGTGCGGTAGTTGTATCACACACAAATGAGGATGTACTGCATGTCTGTAGAAAGTATGATGGGAAAAGAATTGTGGACTGTGTTCTTGATAGCAGTGAACAAACTCCAGATATTGCATTTTTGACTGTGAGAAGTGACCCATTTAAAGATTTCAATTTTGTTGCACTCACTATGTCCGAATTTGTTGATACCATGAATTTATATCAATGCACGCTCATCTAGTAAATGTAAAAGACTGTATAAATTATTGTGATCAATTTCTTTGTTTTAAAGTGTCTTTATGTGTGTCAAATAAGGTTTTTAAGTCTTTTCCTTAAATGTTTTTTGACCGTATTTGATATAATAATTGTTTAAAATAAATCAGAAAGTAGAAGGATAGAAACACTCAACATAAGTTTGAGTTTTTGTACCCATCAATTCTGGTCTTAAATATTTATTTTTTTTCTAGAAGCTATCATCTACACTAAATTTAGATACAAGATTTTACATTTGTTAAAACTTCGATTTATTGACAAAAGAAGTGACTCAAGAAATAAGTTGGATTATTCTGCGGCTGTTCATAAGAAAACGCACTATGTTGACTAATTTATTAAAGACGACGATTAAAATAATAAAAACCTAAAATGAATTAAAAACATCCCAGAAAATGTAAACAGTAAACAGTTGTCAAAATGCCATTTGATAAAAATCAGAAGTTAATTTTTTTATTTATCCAAAAAATAATTATTTATTTCTAATAAAAAAAATTATAATAATAAAAATACAAAAGAAGTTGAAAAGTAGAGTAAATTCCGAAGAAGTTATTTGATAGAGGTACATTTGCCAAAGCAGATATATAAAGATTCCACCCGAACTAATACACAACAGAAATGACATCACTGAACTCTCTTGTTGTTTGTTTTTAATCTGAACTGATTCAAGTGATTAACGATTAGTACGACTTTCCAGTTGTAGCTGAAAAGATGGACGATGTAGTCACATTGACAAAAATGTACATTACATATTTCAAAGACAGGGCCGCTCTTGAAAACGTGTATGGTAAGGGAATTAACTACCAAGGCTCTGCCCCAGTCAAGTCAGGGATATTTCACAGCAGATCAAACCCAATTGAAAAAACAGACCCTTCACTGAAAGAGGTTTTGAACAAATTGAACGAACATTCAATTAACATTGGAAGAGCACACTTAAACACCTCTGCTTTAATCACAAACGAAATCATCAAGCCCATGGAAGTTATGGTGAAGAATCTCGAGACAGGCAAGAAGAAGTTGGTCAGAGACGCTCTGAAGGAAATCAATTATCACAAGGCACAATCTGCTTCTGCAGCCAAGTTAAATGCAAACTACCTCAAAATGATGACAGAGTATAGAGCAAGTGTTGAATTGGAAACTGTTCTTACTGGTCAACAGAAGCAGAAACAACATACAAGAGTTGTCAGAAACGCAGCGAAAGTGAAGAAAATCCGAAGTGACTTGAAGGCATGTCTTGATAAGGTAGAGAATTTACGAGTGGAAATCTACGAATTCAAAATACCTCAAATCCTTAAAATATGCAACCAGTTGATTTCTAACCATTACGACTCTTTTAAGGAAGCTGTCAGCTGCTACATTGCATCGTGTGGAGATTTGTGCAAGATCAGAGTGGAAGCTGTCGAAGCAATGAACAAATGCATTGAAAATCTGTCTTTCCCAAAAGACTTGGAAATGTTTGCCACTCACAATTGCAAGATGACTCCAATTGAGACAATTTCAATGGTATTTACTGATGACCTTCCTGACGATTTGAAAGAAACTGCTGATAAAGAAGAAGTCATTGATTTAAAAACGAAGGAAGAAAAAGACATGAAGGACAAAGATGAAAAGGTTAACATGGAAAAAGCACAATTGGTGTTTGAAGAATCTTTGTCTCAAGCCGATATGGATGAAGAGTTTGCTTTTATTGCTTTGAGAAGAATGATTGGAGGAGAAGAAGTCTGTTTGGAATGCCCACAAAAGGAAAAGAGCAAGGAAGACGTCAAAGAGATAATTAAAGATATTATGAAAGAGCCATCAAATGTTGTGGAAACTAAAATGGATGACAAAGATGAGCCAAAGTACTCAGACGAAGAAGCGTATTAACTTATCTATTTATAACACATGGTTTAATAATCTATTTAATTACTTTAAACAAAAAAAATTGGTATTTATGATTTTTATTATTATTAATTAATTAATTAATTAATAATAATATCTTATTATCATTATTAAAAATCAAAATATATTAAACAAGAACTAAAAATTACTTTGTTAAAAAAAGTTTATGAGATTTTAAAATAGTTTTTAGTGTTTTTTTTTGACAAGATTGAAATTATTAGAAATTCTAGTATTTTAATCAATGAGAAATTTTAATAAAAACAAATATAAAAATAATAATAATTTATAATTAAGACAAATAAATAAACAGTTAAAAATTGGAAAGAATAAGTCTTAAAATAAATGAATTGAAAAATATGACGAGAAGTAGTGCTTTAAGTGGGAAAGAATGTGAGTGGCTCAATTAAAATTTTATTCACAAGAATCATCGAACTAAAAAGATAATTTCGAAGAAAAAACTCAAAAATAAAAGCAAAAATATAAATAATACAAATAATACAATTGAATAGTAAAAGAATTAGAATAAAGTAGTAACAAAAAAGAAAGAAAGCGACGTGTTATTAGTTTTTACTTTTCTAAAATAGTGGAGAAGTGTAAAAAAACGAAAAGGTAGTAAAAGATACTAAAAAAGAGCCAAACCAAAATTGAATAAAAATAGGATGGAAAAGTAGATGTGGAAAGAAAATAATTGTTCTATAAATTACACGAATATAGTATAAAAAGGATGTTTTGAACTATGAATACCAATGTTCTGTTTGCTCATTGCGATAGCAGCTGCTGCTGATTTCAATGCTTGGAAATTGGCCAACAAGAAGCATTTCTCACTTGCTGAGAATTTGAGAAGACGTGCCATTTTCAACAAGAATGCCAAATTTGTTGAAGCATTCAACAAACAACACAGCTTCGAGTTGTCAGTTGACGGCCCATTTGCTGCACATACCAATGCTGAGTATCAGGCCATGTTGAAACCAATTCATTATGAACCATTCACTGGAAAGTCTGAAGTTCCAAAATCCGTCCCAGAATCAGTTGATTGGAGAGCACAAGGAAAAGTCCCAGCTGTTAGAGATCAAGCTCAATGTGGTTCATGCTACACTTTCTCCGCTTTGGCTTCAGTTGAGAACAGACTCCTCATTGCCGGATCCAAGAGATTCACAGTTGATACCATGGATCTTTCTGAACAACAATTGGTCGACTGCTCAACATCAGTTGGAAACAATGGATGTTCTGGTGGATCTCTTGTTATGACTTTCAGATACATCAAGACCAACGGAATCATGGCTGAATCTGACTACAAATACACTGCTACTGAAACCACCTGCGCCTATGACAAAACTAAGGTTGTTGCTCACATCTCTGGACAAAAATCAATTGCTCAAGGTGACGAAGCTGCTTTGACCGCTGCCGCTGTTGAAGGTGTTGTCTCAGTTGCTATTGATGCTTCTCGTGCTTCATTCCAATTGTACAAGAAGGGTGTCTATGACGAGGCTAAATGCTCATCAACTCAATTGGACCACGGAGTCGCTGTTGTTGGATATGGTGTTCAAGACGGATCTGACTACTACATCGTCAGAAACTCATGGGGTGCTTCATGGGGTTTGGACGGATACATTTTGATGTCAAGAAACAAAAATAACCAATGCGGTATCGCAACAGGCGCTGTTTATCCAACTGGTGTTGCTGATGCTTAATTCAGTCATCATTTTGATCATTTGTTTTATGTTTTCCTATTCTTTTTTTAAAATTACATAAGATGTTTATCAAACTTTATGCCATTAACCTGACTACAAGGACATGGTATACAGATAGCAGAAAATTTGGGTGTCAAGAATAAATTGGGTGTCAGATTGATTTTGAGTTATTTAATGGTTTTTCATATTTTTTGGGGGGAAAAAAAACGAAACCCATTTTTTACATTAACTAATCCCTAATTTATTTGACACCCAATTTATTCCTGACACCCTATTTTTCTACTATCTGTAGAATAATATAAAGGAATGGAAAAAACTCGTTTTTGATAATTTAATAGTAAAATGAAAATACAATTATGATTTTTGTATAGAGTCAGTCAAACAACGTTGTCTCATCGAAAATATTCCAAAATTTCAAGAACATTCCACAAACTATTGAGAATTGTAACAAAAAATTAAAAAAAATATTATTTTTTTATTTAAAAAATATTTTTAAATTATTAACTTTATAAAAAGAACTACAAAATAAAATTAAAAGATTCATTTATTACTCGGACACATTTTAATGCCTTGTTCAAAAACCCCGCCAAACGAACGATCTCAAGATGAGAGTAAATAAACTGTGAGAAAGTTCAATTTGATAATAATTAAATAATGGGAAGTTGTGGAAATACTCAGTAAATTGAAGACCGAGCGAAATATTTACATGGTTAGATGGGTCCATATTTAATGGAGGAGTATAAATATAACACATTATTCATAATTCAATCTTCTCGTTAATATAAAGACAGAATAAATAACGTAATTTGTCGATGTGTTGCAATGGAATAAAACAAATAAAACAGACCTTCAAAACACAAATGTTAATGTCTTTAAAAGTTTGACCTAACACTGAAACCAACCCTTCAGAAAAAAAATGTATTTAAACGTTTAATTAATAAAACTATATTTTTAATAACATAAAAATAATTTATCTAATAACATTTTAAATTATTAATAATAAATGAAATAATCATTATCAAAGTTGTGTAATTTTTACTCTCTCGTTTTTGAACAGGATAAAGCCATATGGTTCTTCTAGTTTTGAGTTGTCACGTTTCCGAGATTCTTGTCTCAAAGTTTTTAATACCTTTTTCATTGCCAATCTTTCACTGAGCCCTTCAAGAAGAAGCCCGTTTTTACACACATTTATTTCTTCTTCGTCAAAAAACCAATCAATTTTGGAACAAGACTTTGGCACAATCTCACACACAACATTCATATTGTCGAGTAGTCTTGGAACTAAACCACAAGCAACAAACGCTGCAATAACATTTTTCGTGGTTATGGCTTTTTGCCAAGAGTTTATTATTGATAGAATTTGAAGTGATTGATAAGACAAAGAAGAAAACGAATCTTTCATGAAACTTTTTTCAGATTCACACACTCTTTTCTGGTTGGCAAACACGGCAACATCGAGAACTTGCAATAAATGCGACGAATGACTCGGCATGAGCATGACACGAATGTTATTTCTGGACATTATATTCACCGAATGTCGACTCAAATGCGAACCATAACCATCAATGATGAATATGGCCACACCATAATAATCAAACATTTTTCTTTTTTCGTTTAATATTTTAACAAACACATTTTCAAGCCAATCCTCGAATAGATAAGTGTTCATAAATGCCTTTTTTGAGTATTTTAAAATGGCATTTTTCTTGGTCACTCCATTTTCTACAAGTTCCCTTTCAACACTTTTAGTAGAAACTATAAAGTATGGAGGTAACGCAGAACCATCCATACACACCACTCCAAGCATACTAGTTCTGTTACCATTGCGTGAAATAGGAATGTTAACCACATCTCTTGTCTCATCTGAAGATACAATAACAACGCTATCCATTTTATCGGCCCACTGCTGGAAGCCAGATTCGTCTCCATTAAAAATAAATGCTATTGGTACTCCAGTAACGTTTTCTGATAAGAGTTTAAAGTAAGTTTTAATTTTTTCGGGTTCAACTTCAACGCGTTCAATTTCCATACACTTTCCGGTTACTGTTTTAATATGTTTGTCTGTTGCAACGAAGTGATAGAGAGAATTTTTTGTTACATCTTCTCGACACAGTGTTGTCACAATAAAAAGCATTAAATCACTGTAACTCATTGGTACTTTATTTTTTTCACTTTCTTTAATTTGTTTAATCAAAGCATCTTTTTCTTCATCTGAAAACACTCCCTTTCTTCCCGATTTTCCCGGAAGCGTCTTTGCACGACGTATTTGCCTCCCCAAACATCTGCAGATATGTTGGAGGTAATACTCGCCATCAAAGTGTAAGTTATAAAATTGAACTTTTTAGACATGTATTCATGCATTCTAAACATTCATTGCCTTCTGTTTACTGCGTTAACATTTCTTGGGAGTCCCAAAAATCTCAAAGTCGCGTTCGTTACGTTGACCAATTCGTTTAGATATCCCATTTTTTCTAAATACAATTCCAATCCCCCGCAATCAAATTCGTCGTTATTTAACAGTTTTTCTATTTGGGGGTCATTGTTGCACTCACAGTCCATTGATTGCATTGAAACGGAAGATTCCGAACGTTCATTGTCTTCATTTTCTTCACAGTCAACTTGTGAATCTTTTTGTTGGGTTGGAAGACATTGAATAATATCTTCATTGTTTGCAATTTCCAGGTCATTAATAATATGGTCGTTGTTTTGGAATAACAAAATTTCTTGCTCTGGTGGTGCCACATTTCTTTCTCCTGGAAGTGGTATATTATTTAACACGAGAAAGTTGTATAATTGATTAAACCCTGCACGAGGAATGGCAAACTGATTCAAATAATTTAAACAACCAAGTGTGTGTTGTGTAACATTAATTGCTTTGGTGATCCAATCAATAAACATTTGACATTTTTCGATAAGAGAGTTTAAATAATTAATTTCATTTTGGCTGTCACTGATTGCATCTTCTATATAAACAACTGAATAATTCATCACATTGTTGTAATTATAAACACAACAATTAAATAAAGGGAAGAATTGTTTTGTTATTGTATCAAGTTGTTTCCCAAAAAATTCATAAGTTGTGTGTTTGTACTCACAATTATTTATTGGAGTCAATAAATCATTAAAGTCGAGTCGCCGTGATGTAAAATATGTTAAATTAATATAGGAAGATGGTGGTAGTGCTTCCATTAATTTGATAATTACAAGTTCGTGATTTTTTAGTAAAATATATTTTTCATTGATTTTTCTTTTTTGTTGTTAAATAAAAATAATTTTCTTTTTTTAAAATAAAAATTGATTAAAAAAGATTAAATTACATTGATAAGCAATTCGAATTTAGTGTTCGTTGTAAAGAAAAAATGATTTAAAATGCGTTAAAAATACTTAAATTTTTGGATTATTTATTTTTTTCAAAATAACTTGTTAAAATATTTAAAAAATGTCATTATAAAAATATCAATAAGAATGTTCTTTCAATCAGTAAAATAACAAGAAAAAGACAACCTTTAGTGATCAGACAACGTTGTTTGAATGACTCTAGTTTATTTTTTTCCTTTCCTCGATCTGATTCAAAAAAGGCAAGGTTTACAAAAGTCTCTTTGACTGTTTTAACACGTTGACTTTTTATTTATTTTTTATTTTATCAAAAATATTTTATTGTTGCAAATTTCAGAGTACCCATGGTTGAAAAATTTACCTGTTATTTTTTACCATCGAAAATTTTTTAAAAAAACAACCCAATATAACATAATACAGTGAAAAGGGTCTATTTGTCGAGATCTTTGCACAAAAAATAATCTATTTGTCGGATTTAAAAGAAATGTGAAGAACATTCTTTAAAAACTAAATTATAATTTTATTATTTGTTTATATTCAACTCAATTTAAGATAATAAATAATTGATTTAATTAAATACATAGATTTGTCAAATCGATAATTATTAAATTGTTAAAAACAGAACAAACAAATACATTACAAATTTATGGAGTTGAGAAAGCATAGAAGAACTTATCAAAATATTACTCCAGAAGCACATCAATTCATAAAAGATTTATATAAAAAACATACCTCCGCAAAGAAAAAAAATTTCTGGAAAAATATATTAATAGAATTTGAAGCAAAGTATCCAAAATATGGATTTGACATTATACAACTTGAGGCGTACAGAAGAAGAGATACAAAGACATTTAAGCATATCAGAAAAGGCAAAAACAAAAAAATCATTGAACTACTTAATGAATATGCATCGAAGTCGATATACTCAAACTGTTACTTAGATGACTACGTCTTAAAAGAAAAAGTTCATGACATTATCAGAAATGAAGAATTCAAAGATGTTGTAATCAAAGATGTACCTTCATTTGTTAGACGCTTCAAAGAGAAGTTCGGGTTGAAATACCATTTTTGTGTCGGAAAGGAAGACTTGGTCGATTTGCCACTTTACGCTGATGAAATTGCTTTTATTAAAGAAAGACTTCAAATATATAGTGATTCAAATATATACAACGCAGATGAAACTGGATTGTTTTACAGGCAGTTGCCAACAAGAAGTTTGACAACAAAAAAATCACTCAAAAATGTTGAAACAAACAAAGAAAGGATTACCATAATGTTTTGTTGTAATTGTGATAGAAGTGACAAACTTCCTCCTATTGTGATTCACAAAGCTGTCAAACCTAGAGGAAGTTCACAATCCAAATTTGATAATCTTCAAGTTGTTTATAAACAACAAAACTCGAGTTGGATGTCTGTTTTTATTTGGCAAGAATTTTTGAAAGAATGGGATCAAAAATTGAAAGCAGAAGAAAGATTCATTGCGCTTTTAATTGATAATGCGCCGACACACAAAGATGATTACATCCCATCAAATATCGAGATTATCCGCCTTCCAGCAGGGACCACAAGTAAGCTACAACCGATTGATCAGGGAATTATATCTACATTTAAAAAATATTACTGTAAAAACTTTATAAAGGATCACATTAAAAAGATGAGAAATA